CCCCGTCTTGCTTTGCAGCAATCTTGTCGGCTCCAGCCTCGAGCAAAACCCGCACCACTTCCAAGTGGCCATTGGCAGCTGCTTTGATCAAGGCGGTTGCCCCGTCTTGATTTGCAGCATTCTTGTCAGCTCCGGCCTCGAGCAACAGCCGTACCACTTCCAAATAGCCCTGTGCCGCCGCGGAAGACATGGGCAACACAGGTGGATGGCCCGTGCCTCTCCTATTGGGATCCAGTGGTTTCTGGAGCAACTGTTCAACTTCAACAACTCGATTGTTCTGACACGCAAGGAGTAGCGCCTCCGAGTTCGCCTCCTCAGGTGCACAGAAGTCCAAGATTACCAACTGCAAACTTGGTAGCTTTCTGACAGGCATATCATCCTGTAGCTCGCCCATCTCCTCACTGAAGAGTCTTTGTCGAAATCTCGAATATCCAACCTCTCCGGCGAGGAGCTTTTTCAGATCCTTTACAGATTGTCCACTCTCCACCATGCAGAGTAGATCCTCCTCATGAAGCTGGGAAACCGTGGCACCAGAGAGCGCTTGAATCTCCATGCCTGCTCCCCGTCCAGGAGCCAAAATGGCTATGTCTCCGACCCGAAGCGAAACACGGGCATTCAGTAATTCAACCTAGCTAGTAGAAACAAGAAGCTAGTAGTAACAAGTGCATCGCTACTAGTAACAAGTGCCTTACTAGTAGTAACAAGAAGCTAGTAGAAACAAGAAGCCACCGATGTTCGGCGCAAACGCCCCTTTCTTACTGGGAGCAAGGACGCTACTAGGAGCCCTTTTCTTTTCTTTCGGGATTTTGCTCAAATCAAAACACTTGAGAGTGACCATCTTCAGTGACTGGGTTTTGGTGTCCAAAACTTGGTTGCTGGCGCGAAACTCCAATCGGGGCAAGTGCACTTTCTACTCTTCGATCCAGGTCGACCAATCAACCTCACCCTGTCAGGATGTCCATTCGCCGTTCTTCTTCAACCAAGACAGCCAATCCCCCATCTCCCCATCTCTCTCTCTCTCTCTGTTTCTCCGCTCCTGCATGTGCTTTTCGGCACTTTCCCCCAGCAGCTTCTCCAGGTGGTCTACACGCTCGCCCAGCCTGGTAGGCAAAAGGGATGGGTGATGATCGGGTTGTCATCGACGTCATCACTATGTAAGAACTCTGGCACTGATGCACCGCAACCATCAGTTTAAAGTGGCGAGCCTAAACTCCCAACATTCAAAACCACAGGTTCGAACTCTTCTACCTCTGGACACATATGGCGCATGAAGATCTTTCTTCTCCCTGGGCAGTCTGTTTCAGTAAGCATTGCAGTCTTTTGCAACAGCGAAGGATTGCGATGGAGCGAAACCCAAAGAGGTTGCGCGACCAGCACAGCCCGGCCAGCGCAACACCTGATTGATCTACAATGTCTGTGCCAAGGAGCTGCATCTCAAAATCCGACACGCGCCAGAAAACCAAAGAAAACTCTACTTAGTTACCGGAGCTGTGCTGTGGGAGGTCGCCCAACCTATTCGGAGACAGACCCGCCCAACTGGCCAGTCTTCCATCCCTCTCACCTCTGCAACTGTGAGAGTCGATCGGCCACCTGTCGGCTCTGTTCCTTCCCTTAGCCACGCAGCACGAGACTCACCACCAGCCGCGAAGTAGGATCTACGAGTACCAAGGTGTCTGACTTCTCGAAGGTGTCTGTCTTTCTACATGCGTTTGACATCTTTTGATTAGATAGAGCCGCAGCCGATTCTTTTTGCGTCTGTTGCCTCTTTTTCCCCGAGGATCTTGGACTCCCCGACGGCCATCTTCCTTGTACCTCAGCGACTTACAGCGTCATGGGTTCACCGCCGAACACCCTCTTTCACCCAAAACCATGGGTTTTGGGAATGGTGAACCCTTATTCTTTGAAACCTCCCGAAACCTCCGAGGTTATCTTATCACCAAGCAAACTGGCAGGGAGCGTTTGCAACTGTTCTGCAACAAGAGACTTGCAAGCCTCTGACATCACCTCGCCCAACTGGCCCAAGGCACTTGAGCATGTCCAGAGGCAACCAGGCATCGAAGCCTTCATAGCCTGGTGGCCCAGCCGTGCCAAGCCCGGCTGTGCCAAGCCGTGCTTCTGTTTTTGGGGTGCGTGGGGAAAGGAGTGTTGAACGACAAGGCTGGGACACAGAATGGTATGAAGATCACGTATCTAAACATGTCATGTTTCCCGAAGTGGTACAAAACGAATAAACCCAGGAACCACATGATCAACAAATGATACTTCGATGAGATGGACGTCTTTGCTTGACAGGTTCAGTATGCCGCTTTGGTCACTCCCCAAACACCCATGCTCACTTGAGTACATCAAGCAACACGCACCATTCATCCCTATGGATTCTACTGCCACCCTCTGAGAAGGCGATGAGTTTGACATAGATGCCAGGAGGCTCCGGTCGTACCAAACCGTTTCGAAGGTGGCAGTGGGTTTCTATAGCTAGCTGCCTGGTGGTTTCAACTAAAAACGAGAAGACAAAAACCCTTTCCGTCCATTGCCACCGTCGGCCCCCGATCTCCGACCGCGTGGGGTTCCCGTGTGTTGCACGTGGACGTCTCACGTGTGTGCGTCGCGGTCGCAATGCCTCAGATTTTTCGGTACCAAGGTGCCTTCACTGGAGCCTTCTTCTTCTTGCGCCAAGAGATGTTGATAATCCTCACATCAAATCGGTGTGCGCTGCTGAAGGGACTCAAACAATCCAAACCCCTTTTGGATGGTAAAACATCAAAAACAAACACTCAGATGGGAGCATGTCACTGGCGGAACTTGCAGGCCGAGCTGCTCTGCTGAATAGTACATCTGATCCGCCACATACATGGCGTGAAGCCGCGTGCCGACCCTAAGGTGCCCCATGGCGGAGCAGCATGCAAAACCTCTTGTGCTGTAGTGCGCACTCTTCCCAACGTTTATCGTTTTTTCTGTGAACCTTATCGTTCCTGAAGGTTTCCTTCACTCTACTTACTTAGTCTTCACTGTAGTGATGCTCCTTGATCGGAGGCTTCGGCAGTTGCTCATATGCCAATCCTTTCGACAGCTCATGAATTCCAAACTCAACACCAATCTAATGACATGACATACGTTATGTCGTGCTTTGGAAGGAAAGTCTGTCTACGCCACAGTCTTGCAAGCTCATTTTCTGCAAAGTTGTGCAGCCGTGCAAAGAAAATCTGCAAGGGGCCAGCGGGCAATGCCTCGGATAGAGCAAGGAGTGTAATGCTTTCTCGACACCAAAAACAATTATGGAATGCTATTTTGAGTTACTAATAGCGATGGCCTCCAACCTAATAGCCATGGCCTCCAACCTAAGCTTTGGAAAGTGCTCTTGCCAGGAATAGAGTAGTTAAGGTCTTTTTGCAAGGGGTAGCGAAGCAACACGAAGCAAGTGTTCTTGCTCGGAACTCCTGGTGCAAGGCGAAGCGAGAGATAGCGAATTACCAAAAGACTTTCGGGGTCTTCTTGTCTTTTTGCAGTTCGAGCAGCTGTTGCAACTAGCCGGTAGCCTAGACTTTAAGGCCTTACAAATAGAGCCCTTGATGACTTGTTTCCTCTTTCTAGAGAAACATGGAGATGACTTCGAGACCAGCCTGTACTGTACTCCGCATTGCCATTGCTGTTTTGCTGTTGGAAATAACACCCCAGCGTCTAGCTCATCTTTCTATCCCAAAGACAGGTAAGGCCCCCTTCAATAAGCGCTCTAGTAGCGATGCCCTCCAACTTACTAGCGGTGGCCTCCACCCTTGTTAAAGGTGCCCTTACCTTCTTTATTTATCTCTTTTGTTTCAATTAGTTGTGCCGTCCACTGTACACTTCAGCGTAGAAAAGGAAGCAAAATTCTGAACCACTCTGCTCCCGCCTCATTTCGGCACTGCTGCCCCACTCTATGATCGTCTTTCATTGACCCTGCAGGGTCCAGGGCTGCACACGCTTCCTAGGTGATTCTCTCTTCACTTCCCGTTCTTTTTTAACCGGCTCTGCCCCCTACTACTGAATCATACAAGTAGGCGCCTATTTAATTAAGTAAGGAGGCAGGGCCACGCCCCAGGTCTAAAGAAAACAACAAGCGCAATCATGTGCCTGAATCGCGGAACGGCACATCATTAGTGCTTGTTCAGCGTGCAGGGTGTCAACCTGGCAGGAGCAAACTGTTATTTTTACATGTTGGACCAACCTAATAGCAATGGCCTCCAACCTGATAGCGAATAGTCTGGATAGTGGTGGGGATTTGTCAAAGCCACCTGTAGTTCTTAAAGCACTGAGGATGAAATTTCACCACCGAGGGAGTTAAGGACCCAACAACAAACGAGTTGTGGCTGGGCATGTCACTGCACAATGTAAAATCACGTTCAAAAGCATGCAATCTAGTAACAAGTGCCTTACTACTAGTAACAAGAAGCTAGTAGAAACAAGGTTCGCTACTAGT